CAACTAGCGGCTCCAACCGAAACGCCAGCTATATTTCACCGCATGACATCTGTGGCGTTTCGATTTAAATAGAACTTTCAACCTATGTTCCGTAACCGGCGTCTAAGGCAGGGCCTACCTAAGCCTTACTGACGAGTCTAACAGGTAGGCCCGGGACGAAACGCATGGTGCTTCAACGCGCGCCATATAAACATAACCCAGTTTCACCCATTTCCAATTGAGTACTTGTTTACATATGTAAACATTACGTTCACAGATCACAGAGGTTATAGATTGGAAACTGCAGAATGCTATTTGTCGCTTATCTCAGCGGCTGCAATCAAATTGGGTTCACATAAAAATTTAACGGGGTATTTGATTTCAGTTTATGACCTCTGTGACTTCCGTTGAAGTTTCAATAACATTTCAAGCATTTTATCATGCTCCTTAATTGTGATGTTTATGCTAGGGCTTCAATTAACATTACAATTAAAGGGCAATATGAGATACTCGAAATATTATTGAAACTTCAACGGAAACCACAGAGTTCGTAAAGTGAATTCAAATCGCCTGCTAAAATTGTGCTCGTGTGAAAACTAGGGCAAATCGGGAAAATAAAGCACATTAATTCATCTCTACAGTAGGTATTTATTAAACTAAAAAACCTAGAGATGTAATTTATATTGAGATTACATTAGTTAGATCGTGTAGTGCTTCAACAAAACTTGAAATAAGTTTTATTTACATTAAATAATAAATATGTTGAACAAATATGCAGAAGTGTTGATATAAGTATCCAATTATTACCTGCCATTTACGTTCAGTTGGTACCTGATGGTTGTTTTTGCGCTGGGTTCTGTGGGGCTCCAGCCAAGCTGTTTACTCACTAATGCCCACTTGCACCAAACATTTAAGAAATACTTAAGGTTATGCTTAGCATTAAGTTCGAGCCTAACTGCAAAAATAGATTGCACCAACTGATGACACGATCTTAAGTTCGTCTTTGAAAATCTTAAATTTAAGGACTCGTTCTCGAGTACTTAAGCATGACTTAGCCTTCTTCCAACCTTACTTTAGTTGCTAGTTAGTCAAATATATAGCATACGTATATGAATTGTGTAATCATAATGTCCTATTTTCAAAAAATAAGTACCTACGTACATCATGAATTTTGAATTTCAACGTTTCATTAACGCCCTTTCTGACTAATTGAGAAAATGAGAGATGGCGGAGTTTCATTTGGCTGTACCCAATCACCATCAAAAGCAGCAAGTGATTGATTCACGCCATACAAGGTCTTATTATTTACAATGGATAATAATATTTTATCTGCA